TGCGTGCGTGCGTGCGTGCGTGCGTGCGTGCGTGCGTGCGTGCGTGCATGCGGGCTACCCTCGGTCGGTCGTGCGTGCGTGCGTGCGTGCGTGCGTGCAGCACTCACCATAACATTAATTGAAATTACATCTATGTGGAATGTTTTTTCGAGTTTAAATGGGACTACTACTAAGATGTAGTTGAAGAAATATTATTTGCACCAATGAATATGTTATCACCAGAGGTCGGAATTTGGTAGAGTTATTTACGTACTTACACTGGTTCCATGTTACGAAAGAATAAAGTGGATATGCCTCAAATCCCAAGATTAATTTTGAAGAGATTTATTTAATAAAGAAGGTATTCTCTCTTACCCCATTATAACCACTGCACGCGTGACGCCGACGTTGCCAAACTTACATCAACGATATTGAATGTCCGTAGTTGCAAAATTCCAATAGAAATGTGGCAACGTCGCGCGTGTGCGCACACAACATGGCTTAAGAGAACAAAAGAAAACAATAAAGGAAATGCGGAGCACTCCCCGTTCAACGAAATGTACTAGATTTTGTCTCTTTCTAAGCTTTTAAGCTTTTTATTTAAAAAAATCGGTTGACTCATTCACAGAGCTCATTCACTTACCTCGGTTCGTAGAATGCGCTCGTTTGTTTACTCCTGTGTTTTGTGTGGTGAATTTTGTTTGACCCTGGCTTGTTATTCGGATTCTGGACTTCTACTAATACGACTATTTTGGCACCCATTAACGGACTTTGATTTGACCTTACCGTATTGGATGATTGGATATTTGAAGTTGTTGATATACTTGGTAAGTTTCTTGGTAATATTTTTATTTCATTTATATTAGATTTTCCCAATGTAGATTGTTTCTTGTATTGTTATGTAAATCGGTATTGTTTTACTTAAGAGGTCCTTTGATACAATCACAATAAAGTAGCACTGATTTTAAATGCTACTGAAGAAGCTTAACGTTACTCAGGTTCACGCCCAAATTAGCTTCTTTTAACAAAGACCGAGTGAAAAAGGGTGTAAAGTGAATTATTAAATATTCACGGTGTTTTTCTAGATTTCTTGCGCTTACTAAGCAATAGATATATACTTCAAATATATAAATAATGTGTATTACTATAATTGCTTTAACAGTGAATCTATACATAGTTCACTTCCCACCATCTATGCTCATCAACTTATTTGCCCTATCCCATACTTACAAACACCCTCAAATGGTTATCTAAGAATTTCTTTAACTTATTTGCGCTATCTTATACTTACAAACACCCTCAAATGGTTTTCTAAGAAACTCTTTTTTTGCTCCAGATTAATACTTTGATTAAAAGTATTACTATGGCGCAGAGTTCAATCAAAGAGGCTACCGTCAACAAATGGATCGAAAATAATCCGGAGCTTCTTTATGACCATGCAAGTGGATTAATTTACTGCTCTAAATGTGAAGCATATTTGAGAGCAACTCGCCGAAGTAACGTAAAAAGACATCTAGAAGGAGCAGTACATAAAGGCACGAAGAAAGAACACCATACCCCTTTAGAATTTTACTTCGACTTAATCGAATTTTTGATTCTTTGTAACATACCATGGTCCCAACTGTCCAACAATGCATGTAAATCATTCTTTGAAAAATACATGTGTTGCAATTGCAAAAATATTAAACTTCCTAGTGAATCCTTACTGAGAAAAGTGTACCTGGATCAGCTTTTTAAAATCAGAGTCCAAGAGATGCAAAGTAAGATCGCAGATAAAAAACTATGGCTTTCCGTAGACGAAACTGTGGATTACCTAGGAAGAGCTGTCGTAAATTTGTTGGTGAGACCATTAGAATCTAGTGGGTGCCAACGGCCGTACTTATTGGCATGTAAAATGATAGATACTGTAAATGGAACAACTATATCACAGTTTGTTCAAGATTCTTTGAAAAATATGTGGGGAAGTTCATTTGAGAGCAAAGTAGATAATGTCAGAATGTTATGTACAGACAGTGTGGCATACATGATATCAGCAGGTAGAATGTTAAAATCAACTTTTCCAAAAATGTTGCATTTCACATGTTTAGCCCATGCTCTAAATCTTGTTGCAGGGCAGATTAGAAAGGAGAACCCTACTGTTGACAGTTTAATTTCAAATTTGAAAAAAGTTTTTTTGAAGTCACCAAAAAGAATTAAAATCTTTAAAGAAATTTGTCCGCATTTATCTTTACCTCCTGCACCTGTAATTACTAGATGGGGTACTTGGCTTCATGCAGCATTTTATTACGCTAAGCATTTTCATGAAATTAAGTCTGTATTGTCTGTGCTGAATAGTCAGGAGGCAAAGTCAATAGAAAATGCTTTACACATTTTTAATAATAATGACAACATAGAAGATGATTTAAATCGCATTTACGAAAATTTTGCAATAATACCAACAGCTTTGACAGCACTTCAGAAACCCGATCTTTCTCTAATGGAATCTTTTCAAATATTCGATACAGTAAGATTACATTTGAGATGGGCAAATTGCGAGAGCTTAGAAGATAAAATGGAAAAAATCATGGATAGAAATCCTGATTTGGACACTATTAGAAATGTAGCAGAAAACATTTCTTCTTGCAATAATGACGAGGAGGAGGAAGTATTAAAATTTGCCAACCTCACCTCAGTTGACGTAGAGCGTTCTTTTTCAATGTACAAATGGATTTTAGACGTTCGAAGAAATTCATTGAAGCCAGAAAATATTGAAAAGCTAATGGTTATATACTTTAATTCTCATAAAATTTATTCAGTAATATCGGGAGCGAACACTTCAAATCTTAGTGGTACTTTGAATGAATCGGACAAGGAAAATGGTTCTGATGGGCAGTGTGAATAATGTATTAATTATTTGTATTGTGAATTAATGTAAACACTAATAAAAGTTTTATGCTAATTAACTTTGTTTTATTTGTCTTATCTATCTCTGAAGTTTTTATTATTATTTATGTGTCATATTGATCGCCACACATAAGAAATCCCGGGAAGGTCCATATTAATATCTACATTTCGATGCAAGTACATAAATAACTCTACCTAATTCCGACCTCTGGTTATCACTTGAAACGACTTGTTTACAAGTATAATATCATTGACTTATCCTTTCTATTACAATAGGGTAATAAAACCATAGACACTTCTTTTACTTAAAACGTACAACTATTAGGTATGTATTCCGTATAAATATTTCCAAGTTTAGAATTAAGTGCCAATGCGTAAAAGTGTTTATAGTAGTTGTTTATTGTAAACAGAGACGGCTCACTCTTCTGTCCTGTTGTACTCAAAAGATGCAGCGATAAGACGAATTGGTGCAAATAATATTTCGCCAACTTCTGGGATATATATTATATAGGAAGAGGGGATATACAAAAACTTTCTTTGACAAAAATCAGTAATAACGAACTATGAGAAAACGCGAAGATAGAAGAAAGAAGGGGTATCCTCCTATCTCCTTTCGAACAAAAAAGAGTAATCGAAATCTCCCAATCAATGTTGCAGTAGTCTGGTACATATATGCCATACTCAAATAAATACAGTCGAATTGAGACCCTAAGTTATGCAACTTATTCTTCAATTTAAAATAGCACAATATAGAGTACCAACCATATTCGTCGGATAGTTTTGGGGATTAGCCCAGTTACCTACTTGCTTCGCTCGCTGGCGTAACGACCAATATCTTCGCGTTTTCACATAGGCCGTTTTTACTATTTTTGTCGAAGAAAGACTTAGAAACTTCTTGCTCAAATATATTATTAAAGTAATGTGGTACCTGAAAGAGGTATACTTAACTAATTAAAATGCTAACCACACACATAATTGCGGTTACTACATTTTACGCCCCATTTTTATCTTCGTCCCGAAAAATTATATAACGATATGTGGCTTAACGTTCGAAACGAGATTACGCCATTGTCATCGGTGCTCGCCGGTCATTAGCTCAGAATTCACACAGTTCCAGCTGCAGCCTTGAGCAAAAGTTGCCTGCGACTAACTGGTCTTCGTCTGGTAGACCGACTCAGATAGACTTTACTTACGTTCCCTTCCTCTCCCATGGCCGAGCCAGCGAAGTCTGTGGACTTTAATTTCACCGATGAAGTTTGACGAGCATTCACGAGCAACGAGCTCTACGGATTAGTCCCAATAAAATGATATATCGCACATTGAAACTAATACAGTCACTAAACGAAAAATTCACATTTTCAAATTTAAACTTATGGCCAAACTTATGGCAAAAATTTAAACTTTAATGGCCATTTCCTGAAAGTTGACTTTTTCGTTTGAAGACATAGAATAATAATATATCTACTTGGAATATCAGTGCATACGGCGATACATGTCTGTGGTAACACCAATCCTCTCACAAAGACAAAGTGAATTTTGTTTCTATGAAATTGTTACAGTTCCCAGTATAGGGTTTAGGTCATTGTCAGCCACGCTGGCTCATTGTGGGTTGAGGTCTTCACTTGCACCTAAAAACATGTGATGTATCAATGTTCTGCTGAAACTGCATATTAAAACATTTTTCGAAAACATAAAAGTACTAAAATTTCAGTTTTACAAGAAAGTATGATAAGTTACGTTGTGGTTTCCGTTTCCTGCCGCCTTTTACGGACTTTTTTTCAGTGCTTTATTGCAAAGACTTCCATTTATAGCAAATTGGATTATATTTAGAATGGCTGACACACAGAACACCATACTTGGGCTGACATGTTCTCTACACGTGTAGCAAATAATATTTCAAGTTTTGAATTCTATAACTATTATATAATCTGACTGAACGACTATTATTATTAATTTATTTTCCAATTAAACGAATAACGAATGGCATTTTTGTAAATGAGAACAAATTTTTCCGCGCTATTGGCAGCACTGACATTTGCGTCGTGAAGTTGGTTGCATTTGTTTTTTATTCGCGTTCTATTTTTGTGTGTGACGGTTCTGTCCGGCGGAAAGGATTTTATTTTCCAAATAAATTGATGATTTTCGTTTATAACAACGAAATATTGCTGAATTCCTTCCGATTGCAGTAAATTACCAAGATGCAGAACGGAGACGACGCGCCGGCAGTCACGGAAAACAGTGAGTTACATATTTGTTGTCAAAAATAGTGAAATAACAATCATTATTCCACTGTTTTCTTCAGTATTTTGATGAAAATGCGGCTTCGATGGCGCGGAAAGGGTATGTAATTTACTTCTTCTTATTGTTAGGCGTCTTTATTAGAATACCCTCTCATTGAGGGTACCGAAATGACTGTTGAATTGTTTGGAATGTTTAGTGATAATTCCGAATCGCAATGATGATTTTCACTTGCATTTGCTCGTTTCGCGCATGGATTACCTGTATTTGGGTTGATTATAATTAAAAATACTGTGGGTAGCTCAATTAGAGTGTGAAACGTGAGTCACATTCTTGAACACTGCCCACCTATTGTAAAAATGCAATTGGTTTGTTAAGCTCTTGATTTATTTCTATTTTGTTTTCTCTTCGTTGTTCTTTGCTTAGTAAAAACTCTATGAAACTTACAGATTTCATACTTTTCTAGAAGAATGTTGTAATGTTTTTACGATCTACCTTCAATAAATTTATAGTGAGGTCTTAATTGAAAGCTTTTCACATTGTCCTGACTCATCATGTTCAAGGTCGCATCTCTAACTGCATTTTTCTACTCTTATTACGTCTGCGTTTTTGTGAGCATCAGTATGCTACCCATTCATACTTAAAATGAGTTTTAGAAATTCTACCTTCAAAAATTCATATATTTACCAGTCTTATATATATATATTATCAAATTACTTATTAGTTATAATTGTAAAATATTTTTCCATACAAATCAGTTGTGAATTTAAACCACACAGGTGTCTATATACGAAATTGCCTTTGAGATTCTTTCTGACTACCCAATATTATTATGAATAAAATAATTTTTCAATAGATGTTTCAATTTATATGTACATTTTAACTAAGACCTCAGTGGTTCGACGAACATTGTGGGTACTGGATGAGGAGATTCATGGTCCAATGCTCAGTATGACTTATTAAGGAAAATAACTTTTCTACATTAGTTTTGGTTTGTGTGTTCTGGGAGGTGCCATGGAGTGAATTCTGATGCTCTAGTACTCATAGTACTGGGAATTCCTTAGTGTCATGGTTATTGGATTACATTACAATTTACGGATTACAATTTACTAAAACCTTGTTACCATATTGACGGAAAGTCATTAATAAATATCTTGGTGTAAAACCTACCAATTTGTCATAGATACATACAAAAGACAAATATAATAATGCATATGGTGTACCCATACTTGGATTGATATATGTTAGGTACACAAGTGTACAAATACAATTGTTCAACCTTGAATAGAATCAACAAAAATATGTAGATTGAACAAATAATCTGTATTAAAATATGTTATGTGAGTGATTATCAAATCTTGATAATATTAAAAAGAATTAAAAATAATAATAACTGAAAATTATCCACAGCAAAAGGTTCTTAACTGATTATTTTTGTTTAATAATTTTTCTTTAAGGTCTATAATAATAATAGACCCAGACCAAAATTTTGATAAGTTTGCTTTCTGTATTGTTCCAACCAGAAAACAAACCTAGTACCTCTTCATTATGCACTCTTTATGCCAAACATATTTATTAAATAACTATATCAAGATCATCGACAATTCACATTAACTTTGTCTATGTACCCTATATGAATAATTAATTTATAATTATACCAATATATGGTTTGTTTGAAAAAACAGATATACACTATTTATATTGGCATAAAGGGTTTTATTTCCAATGTATCAATAGGTTTTAGGTGCTTCACCTAACAATATTTAAATTCATCGAGTTCTTGGGTTTTCGCGATTGTTACACATAGGAAATGAAACTATTCCAATTTTTCAAGACATAAAAACTATAGAGCTACGAACTCACGATTGTATTAATTACAGATATGCCTAGATAGTCTATCTTAAATATCATAAACACATAAACTTTATCTTCATTACATGTTATTATTCAACAGAAAATGCTAAGTTCTCTTAATATACGTTTAGTTGACTATATGTATTACTAATTTAAATATGTTTCACTTGTTCTCATGCCCACTGTGTCCGACTAGTTGCACCTACGAAGACCTGCTAAAGGCACCAGATAGATCCATAGAGGTGGCCGCTTATAGGGCCAAAGAAATATAACCCAGGATATCTACTGGTTTTTATTTAGCATTGACTCGACAATAAGATTTATTTACTTTTACTAAAGTTCATTATTTACAAATTACTAAAATTACATATCAGAATATCATCGGCTTATTGCAAGAAACTGACAAAAAGTTTCAGAAGAGCAGTTAATAATTTTTTCTTATATTGCAGCAGCAGTAGTATTGTATTGATTAAAAAAATAACAATGCCATATTTTGTCAGTATGGATAGTAAGGATTACCCTGATTCGTTATATGAATCTCAAAAAGCCAACTACGGGCTTAATTGTGCGATTTCCAAGTGTTTACTGCGTAATTGCCGCCTACTGCTTTTCCATAGAGAAGTATCAACAAAGTACCGACTTTCTTTGTACTGAATTTAATGACATACATTGAACATTTATATTGTATCAATTTTTTTTTAATAATATTAGTGCACACACTCAACATAGCGTCGCACTAGGGAAACCCTGTGTCGCGGGTGCCATGGACTCACGCATAGACAACCACAAATTTCACCCAAACTCACGAGAGAAATAAATGTAGGCCATACGAATATTGCTCCCGACCCCGGACCTCTGCGTGGCAGTCCGGCATGGTAACCGTTCGGCCACAGAGGCAGTTAATATAAGCATTAACTTACTATTTGAGTAGGTACTGTCTAGGAACGGGTTAAGTAGACGAGGCCTGCTACGTTACACTTACAAAAGTTATTTCAATTGGACTATCCGTTAACGTAAACTGCATCTGTTTTTTTTTCTGAATATTAAATTTTTTTTTATAACACCAAGTGAAGGGACGGACAAGTCGTGCGCCTGATGGCAAGCGACACGCCTGTCCATAACAGTGCCAGTTCCATTCAGAGCTTTAAATTGCAAAGATCTGAGGGACACTACCACTGCGTCCGTCCCCTGAGACATAAGTTGACAAGTTCCATGTGCCTGTAATTTCACCAGCACCCTTAACCTTCAAAACCGGAACACAGCAATGCTGATATTATTGCTTGGCGGCAGAAAGAAGAAAGGTGACAGTACTACCCAGGGCGAACTCTTTCATAAGGAGATCTACTGCTACTAAAATTTAAGGCTATTCAAGGCAGAGTGAATCGGCATTTTTTAGATAAACGCGTACCATCGTAGGTCACGTCATCGCTTAACATCAAGCCAGATTGATTATAGCCAAGCGTGTCTATTAGGGGGAGAAGGAAGGTTGTGGGTATAGTGCCTAGTGCAATTTTCCCAGTGTTAAAAGTGTCAGGAAGGGATACCAATCAATAGTAGCAGTAGAGCTCTTAGTAACAATGGAGCTCCTTGTGAAAGAGTTTGTCCAGGGAAGTAGTGCTACCTTATCTATTTCTGCCGTTAAGCAGTAATGTGAACATTCCCGCCGCCGTTCGTTGAAAAGCGCTTGTGACTAAAACTCAAAACCGAGAATAATGCTTAAAGAAATAAAATAAAAAAAAATATAAAGTTTTCTCTTGGGGTAACTTCATATCTTATGAACCTAGGAAAAGATAAAAGGACAGTCGGCCTTTTCTTTATTGATCCCGGCAGTATACATAATATTTTTTTTTAATGTCATTCGCCCTTTCAACTAACGGCGGCAGTTTACTGCGTTCCGGTTTTGAAGGGTGCTGGTAAAAAACATAGGAACATAGGACTTGCCAAATTATGTCTCAGGGTGGCGGCGCAGAAGTCTTTGCGATTAAAGCTCTATTACCCTACTCTCAAACGAAATCCATAGTTACCTACAGCCGTTTTCCCACTACAATTTCGATAACGAAAACATTTCCTCGTTCGAAACTGTCAAATCGCGTTGTCACATGTTCTTAGTTCTAGTCTCGATCGCAGCTCAAGACTGTAGGTCATCCGTATCCGTTCGGGAATAGTCATTGTACTTATGTCATTTTTTTATGATATCAAGTGCGCTTGATATCACGTGATTGGTCAGTTTAAAATCCCTTTGCCGCCTAACAGCGTTAGCGCACTACGTCAGGTTCGTATCGTTGTTCTCCGTCCGAAACAATTATTATTGATTAAATTGTTATTGAATTGATATTCAATTATTTTTTGTGAAATTACTCCACTAGTTTGTTATAATTATTAATACAAAGATCGAACACTCAGAAAAAATTCCTTCGATCCGGTCGTATTCGAACCGACGTCTTCTTGCATACCGTGCCAGACGCTATACCAACTAAGCCACGGAACCAACCAACGGACCTCACGAATTTTTCTGTGCTTGCGTCGTGTCTTTGTACTTGGTCTTTCAACGACTTTTTAGTCGTAGCGCCATCTATGAGAAATCTATGACCGATTTATCACCCAGTTAGTACCTTTACAGCTACCAGTCCTGGCGAGAGATGTCGCTATTCACTGTATTAATTAAATTTTTATTGAATTGATATTCAATTATTTTTACATTAATACACGACCAAGAGAAAAGAAAAAAAGAATGTCAAGTATGAAGCTTCGATCGTATCATGTCTTAATTTGGTTGAGTATAACTTATTTGACAGTAAGTTCAGTATAGGTTCGTAATGACAAAAAAGCGGGATGGTGATATACATTTCATATGGACGATCCATTTGATGTCCTAAACTGAATCGTAATAAGAGTTCACGGTAACGCCGCAGGGCCAGTTCCGAATCTGAGAAATGACGGTCCCAAATGTCTCAGGGATCATTTTATCTCTAGGTGTACAAGCGATATTCGTATCTTCTCGGACTTAGTGCATAAGCGACATTCGCAGTGGGTCCAAGTTTTCTAGATTTGTATAGTCTCGGATTCGAAACGTATACTAGTTGGACGCAGTGCGCAAGCGCGTTTAGGCCAGGTGCGTGGTGATTATAACGTATATATTCTTCTTAGATTCCTATTTAGTCTTCACTAAAAAATGTTTTCTTTTTTTCTTAAAAGCCAAGAAGACCGTGCCAGAAGAAGTGACCAAACAATCGTTCCGTATCAAAGTATGGAGGTACCTGGAGACCACAGGCCTGGCGATGTTCCCTCGCCCGGTGTACAACCGTATCCCTAACTTCAAGGGAGCCCCAGAGGCGGCCGCCAAATTGGCTGAGCTGGATATTTTCAAAAATGCCAATACAGTCAAGGTCAACCCTGATAAGCCACAGGAACCAGTCAGGTTAGTGTCTTTTATGTTTCTAAGAAATACATAAAATAATATTGAAATGTCATTTCTTGAGTGTCATCTCCACACAGTTGCAATTGAAGGGTCAGTGTAGAGGTTTCTGTATTAACAAGTTCTGTTGGTATTCAAAAGTTGCCATTTATGAACTTGAAACGTAATACAGATCTTTCACACTTAGATGACGTAATACGTCCATACATATTCATTGAGCTCTTTTGTATATCATGTAAATTCTTAATTTGAACAGAATCTATTTACAAAGTACAACCTCATACTTATTAGAGTTTCATACTTATTCGTATGTAGGGAATCTGCCTTATGAATAATTATCTAAATTATTAAAACCATTATATGATCAAAATCATTTGGTGATTTTTATATGAAATAAAACAGTTTTTTAATACATGCTAAAATTAAAACCGAACGCAGTGCATTATCCTTATGTCTATTTTACGCCTACAAAGTTATACATAACATTTTTACTTGCATTGATAAGATATTTCATTCCAATGTATTGTTTGTCTCTCAACGGTTTGTTACTGTAATCAAAAGTTTACGTTAACCGTTTACTTATAAGGTTAAGGTTACGTAGTGATATTTTTTAAATTGTCGCTTGTTTTATTTTTATCAGAACAATGTCTTTAAATATTACTTTATCAGAACATGATAATCGTAATATACTATTCAATTAAAAGCTAACCTTATCACTTTAGATGTAAGGTTAATATTTGTAGTGACGTGTCTCAATAATAATTAACCGACTTCAAGAAAAGGAGGAGGTTCTCAATTCGGTTGTGTTATTTTTTTCTTGTTTATTGTTATGTATATTACGCGATAACTCCGGCCGGCATTTGTGAACCGATTTTGAGAATTCTTTTTTTGTTGGAAAGCGGGTACTTTAGTAGTAGTCCCATTTGAATTTATGAAAAATATTTCACCTCTAAGGGTAGCAAACTAGGGAGTTAATGACTTTTGAGGTCGGTTTTTTAGTACTCTGTACTGATAATTCGTTCCATTCTATAAAACTCGTTAGACTATGAACTTGGACTTTAGATAGTTCTATACTCGATCGCATGAAAAAGAACATATTTTCTTGTATCCGGACGCAGGAAGCGTGGTGATAATTCGTAGACACATGTTGTATTACGTATTATTCTCTTATTCCATAAACAAGTAGTGTAACTCCATACACACGTAGATTGTGCACACGTTCTGTACGCCCGCCGCGCGCCGTGTAGGGTAATGCACACATTCATAATCTCGCATAGCACTCGAGTTGCACAGCGCGGGTTGGTGCACGCGATAGAAGAAGCGTCTGCACGGTGTTTAATAAATAAAAATAAAAATAAAATATCTTTATTTTCAGACTACAGGGTCCATAGACATAAATAATAAATGACATCAAATAGTAGATGTTTATGGCTGTCATGTCAAGAGTCCTTCAAATTCAGAATTGTTCAGCATTGCATTTCTATTTCATAATAATCATTCTCTTAAAATTGTTACACCACCGTGATACTGGTATAAAAATATCAATATGTAAGTACAGCATTTGATAAAGGTTATTTCAATATAGGTAGCACGAGAATACCGTGAAAAATACCGTCATTTTTTAACCGACCAAAAGAAGGAGGTTCTCTATTCGGGTTAGGTTCTGTTATTTTTTAGTATTTAACGCGGCAACTTGGCATTTGTGAACCGATTTTGATGATTCTTTTTTTGTTGGAAAGAGGGTACCAGAGTATTAGTCCCATTTAAATTTGACGAAAATTCCATCTCAAAGGGTGGCCAATTAAGAATAGAATTATTTATTATTTATTTCGGACCATGATCCATAATAATGTTACTAAGGGATGAATCCTATTTCAATAAAACTAGGCAAATAGATGTAATTCCACGAGCTTTTGAGGTTAGTTTTTTTAGTTCTCTGTACTCTTCCATTCTTTCCACATGGCTAGGCCAGAGAAGTCTAGCGGATTTTTATTTATTTGCCGACTTATTTAAAAAAAAGTATGTTATTGGGTCATATCATTGTTAAACCATTTATGATATGTTCCACTACTGAGCAAAGGTTTTCTCTAAAATGAACCAAAGGTAAAAGCACAGACAGTGGCGTCATAAACTTCGATAGGGTCGATTCTGAACCTTACGATGACTCAGTTGTCGACCGATTCGATATGTCCCACGTTTTCTTTTCATTTTTATTCACAACGCCCGAATCGAACGTCGAACTGTCGTATTCGAAACCGAACCGAAATGATGTCACGTTTTAGCAGTAGAGCTCCTTGTGAAAGAGTTCGTCCAGGGAAGTACTGTCTTACCTTACCTACTTCTGCCGCTGAGCAGTAACCTCTGTATTGCTGTGTTCCAGTTTTGAAAGGTAAGAGTGCTGGTGAAATTACAGGCACATGGGACTTGTCAACTTATGTCTCAGGGTGACGGCCGTTGTGGCAGTGCCCCTCAGATCTTTGCGATTTAAAGCTCTGAGTGGCACTGCAACTGTTATGGACAGGCGTGTGTGTAGCTTACCTTCAGGCGCACGACTTGTTCGTCACGTCACTTGATATTAAAAAAAAATTTAATTAATTTAAATTTTTAAAATACTCCGGTCATTAAAATCACTTGGCAACAAAAGTCGAATCAGTAAACCAATTTACTATCGCAAGTTTAAAGTACAGCATTTGAAACGCGTTTTACATAAGCAGCGTTACAATAAGGAATGCGTTACCTAAGACATCAGTCACGCTTGCACTGCGCCAATCACTGTACCATGTTATTCCTTAATAACATAAAAACAACGTCACATATTTATTTAAGTTACAATTTGATGTGGAATTAATAAAACACACTTTTGTACCTAATGTAAGGTTTTTAGCCGAGAGAGGGCAATAATATGAATATTTACAAACATACCTAATACGATCTACAGAAAAGATTTCTTCGAGCAGAATAACACTAATAATTTTTTGGGGTCAGAATCGCGTATATTTGTTTTTTTTTTCTAACAAACCAACGTTTCGAGCCTCTATGTGTATGGCCGAGCCTTTATGTGTATGGCCTAGCCTTACCGAAAATAAAGAAAAGACTCGGTTATTAACCAGTAGAAAACGAAAATTATCGCAAAGATCTGAGGCATAACTTGACAAGTCCCATGTGCCTGTAATTTCACCAGCACCCTTACCCTTCAAAACTGGAACATGGTAATGCTGATATTACTGTTTGGCGGCAGAAATAGGTAAGGTGGCAGTACTTCTCTGGAAGAACTCTTTCACAAGGTGCTCTACTGCTACTAAAACTAGTTTATTTCACATGCAAACGAATCGCGTCACTAAAAGCCGGGTGCCGTCGTCGGAGCTGTCCAACGCCAGCCTGCGCTCGAATAGCGAACAGGCTCGACTGGCCATATCTTCGGTTGACAAAACTGAATACACTTCCAAAATAAAGTAAAAGTATTTGGTTAACATTATGATACGAAAATAATGTACAGACGGCAGCACACCAAGCTACACAGTGAGGGATCGTGTTCCGTTACACTGAAGACGCGCACGCGTGCACACTCACACATAGATGATCACAAATTACACCGAAACTCACGAGTGAAATAAATGTAGGCCATACAAATATTTCTCCCAGCGCTGGAATCGAACCCTGGACTTTTGCGTGGCAGATCAGCATGGTAACCGTTCAGCCCTGGAGGCAGTTGACTGTACACTAATAAACGTGAACGCAACATTACTATAAAAAAAGTGCATAGGCATTAATTAATTGACAAAAATGCAAAATTTTATCTAATTAGTGGCGGTAGAGCTCCTTGTGAAAGATTTCGTCTAGGGAAGTACTGCCACCTTACCTATTTCTGCCGCCAAGCAGTAGGTAATGTGAGTAGGTATTACTGCATTACGGTTTTAAAGGGTAAGGAACCTGGTGAAATTACAGGCACATGGGACTTGTCAACATATGTTTCAGGGTGACGGGCGCTTAGCAGTGCCCCTCGTATCTTTGCGATTTAAAAGTTTGAGTGGCACTGCAACTACCGTTACGAACAGGCGTGATTTTTACCATCGCCTGGTGGTAAAAATCACGCCTGTTCGTTGTTCGTCACCGCTTGTTCGTCTCGATACTTGGTATTATAAAAAAACTAGAAAACAGATAACAAAACCCGTCCCGCAGTACACACATTAGACTTCAGAGGCGTTGCTTTGAATTACACGTGTCTAAGCAGTGTTTTTAGGAGTAACATGTATAATTTTGTACCTACTACATTAGTAAGAAGTGGATTATTTAAAAGAAGTATGAGTCATGTAATGTTACTTAAAAATAAATAACAATAATAATTGTTATTAATACAATACAAGAAAATAAAAATGCTAATTT